CACCTGCGTAAATCCATCTCCCCGGAGACCGGCTGGTTCTTTCTGATCCCACTGGTGTCCCCTGCATCCCTGTTTGCTGTGTCCTGCTGAACAGATGCTCTGTCCATGGCTGACACAGGAAAGCAAACAACAGGCACCCCTCGCCCACCTCCACAGCCCAGGGCCCGGCCAGTGCCCGAGAACCCCGTTCTTTGGAGAGGCCCCGGGGGGGGGGGTCTTTGGAGATGGAGGGGCCGGGGAGGAGCCACTTCCTGATCTTGTACTAACGCCCCTGCTAAAGCCCGACATTTCCCTATGGCATCTGCCAGACGTTTGGATCATTGCCAGCCTCAGAGGAACTCACTTACGAAGGGCCTGTGGGGGCCTGGCGCTTCTCTAATAGCTGCTAATTAAAACGTCTACTGCTGATAGAGTCAGGATTCCCTTTCGTGGCTCTTATCATCTCGTACCACTTGATCTCTCTGTCATAGTTCAGAAACTCCGGCTGCACAGGCCATGCTGCATGGGCAGGGGCTGTCCCGGAAGTCTTCAGGAAGAGCGACACTGTTTTTCTTCCAAGGCAGAAGCAGGGAACAGCTCCGACAGGCCCTCAGGGTTGAGGTCCCAAACATATCTCTTTCCCCTTCGCTAAAATGTTTCCTTTTCATGAAACAGGCCTTTTACTTCAGGTCACATATTTCTAATCTAACTCGGCTCAAGTTCCCTCACCCAAACTTACCCCTTTGAAAGAGAACGAAGAGATAGAGCCGGAGACTGGGTCAGGCCCAAGCGGGTCACCCCGGGGCCTGCGGGAAGGTCAGCGGGGGCGGGTGTGGCCAGAGTGCTCGGAGCAGCACGTGTCTGTCCCGGGAAAACAGCTGCCCCCCCACCCCCCAGCACGGTCAAAGTGCCACAGGAATGCCGCTCAAATGATAAGATAGCCAGGACAAGACAACCAGGACAAGGCGTTTATTTCCTGGCGAGAGCTGTGTCTCCCCCGAGTGGGCTCTGAAGAGAGCGCGGCCTGGGGGGCAGAGCCGTCCCATGAGCCCCGAGTCCAGCCCACACTCGCTCAGCACCTCGAGCACAGACCCACGGGCCACGGCCAGAGCTCGCGAGGACCCTGAGTCCAAAGCCCCTGCGTGTGTCTGCAGACCAGCTCCCTCAGAGATCTCTCCAGACACGCTCCCTCAGAGACCTCTTAGGACAGGCTCCCTCAGAGACCTCTGAGGACAAGCTCCCTCAGACACCTCTTAGGACAGGCTCCCTCAGAGACCTTTTAGGACAGGCTCCCTCAGAGATCTCTCCAGACATGCTCCCTCAGAGACCTCTGCAGACAAACTCCCTCAGAGACCTCTTAGGACAGGCTCCCTCAGAGACCTCTGAGGACAAGCTCCCTCAGACACCTCTTAGGACAGGCTCCCTCAGAGACCTTTTAGGACAGGCTCCCTCAGAGATCTCTCCAGACATGCTCCCTCAGAGACCTCTGCAGACAAACTCCCTCAGAGACCTCTGAGGACAAGCTCCCTCAGAGATCTCTGCTTCTGAAAATGATCAGCAACATGGCGAGTCAGGCTCTTAGTCCCGTGACCTCACTGCACAGCACGGGACCTCAGACTCTGTAGAAATGTCGGTACAGTGTCACGGCCACAATAATCAGGCCACGCACAAGTCACCACAGGAATGACAGAGCTCGGAAGAAGGGCGACCTCAGGAGCGCGTCTGTGTGACTGTGGAACAGGATCAGCAGGTGACAAATCTCACCAGAGGCTCCAAGAACCTGCTCAATGGGCGCCAACAGTGAGACGGTTGACTTGAAAAAGGTCCTATGGCAATGAGGTTAAAAATCACTGTTTTTTTCTCTAGGATCAGGGGCTGGACCATATATAGATCCAAACAACGAAACACTTTCTTTTTATAGTTTCGCCCCCACGGCATAACGATCTGTCAGATGATGAGGCTTTTTCCTCCGACTTCTCGATCTTGACTCTCAGCCGGCCCTTTTGTCTGCTCGCTCCGAGCCACGCCCGCTGGTGCTCGGGGGCCACTCCTGGCTCTGCCCCAGGGGTCACTGCTCCCTGCGTCCCGGAAGGAGCTGGCAGCGGGCACTGCTGGAGGAAGCGCTTCCGAGCGAGCGCGCCGTGGGAGCTGCCGGAAGCTGTTGCCTGGGCTCTGGCTAAAATAGGGCAGCTTGTAAATAACCCCAGAGAAAGGGACTAAAAATACTCTGAGGCCAGGCCAGGCCCGCGGCAGGGACAGAGGCGCGCCTGGGGGCCAGGCTGAGGGCGGCCGGACCCTCGCTCCAAGAAGCCCCCCGGGCTGATGCCCGTCCCGGCAGCAACCAGGACCAGGACGAAGGTGGCGCCCAGGCTACGACCCGACAGGCTCACGGGGCGTCAGAGCCAGGGCGAGTCTCAAGGTGTCACGGAGGCACCCGCAGGGCCGGGAGAGAGGCTGGGGACGGGGCTGCCACAGCGCCCCCTCCTTCGCTGTCTCGGGAAACTCTCGCTCTGCAGCCAGACAAGGATTCTTCAGTCACTCTCGGCTCTGCACAAGCCTGAGGCGCAGGGCCAAGGTTCCTTGGGGCCGTCCGCGCCAGCGCCCCCTCCCGGCGTCCTCTAGTTCACACACGGACCGGCAGAAACGGCCGCGTCCACGCTGTGTGTGTGTGGGGGGGGGGGGCGGCGGGAAGGAGCACGCGGGGGCCACTGTCGAAGGGAGATGCTCACGGGACAGGCCAAGCGAGGCCTCAGCCCCCAAACACGGGCCTGGCCCAGCGCCAGGCCTGCAGGCCTCTGGAGCGGCACCTGCACGTTCTGGACGGGCCAGGGACAGGGTGAATCCAGCTTGTCCAGCTCCTCCCAAACGGCGTGGAGAGCTAAAGGTGGCGGCCGGCCACGGCACTGGCGGGAAGGGACAGTGTTTGACCGACCGCATCTGAACCGACTTTGGAAACTTGAAAGATCCACAGATTTGGAATTCCAGAATTCTAGGTCAAATTCCACCACCACCGTCTCCATCATCACTGTCTCCACCGTCTCCACCATCTCCGTGGCAGTCACGCCTCCACCTCCGTCGCTGTTCCCCCTCCCAAGTGCCGTCACTGCAACATCACCACCCCCCACGCCCCCACACCCGGCCTCTACAGTCCTTCTGCTCGGCCGGGGGCCACCATCGTCCCTCTCTCTTCCTTTGACCGTTTTTATTTGGGGGAGTCACATCCCAGAGTGCGCAGGGGTGGTCCCAGCTCTGTGCTTCAGGGTCCCCCCGGGAGGTGCTGAGGACAGAGTGGGGTCCGGCCACGTTGCTGAGGGGCCCTCACCAGGAGTGCGTGGAGGGGCTGTTCCGGGTGGCTCTGCCTGGACTCCACGCCCTGTGCTCCCCTCGGACTCCCACAGTGCTCTGGCTGGGACTGTTTCTGAACGTGGGTTTCTCCCGGCCAGTCTCTGCTGGTCTTTCTTGTCTATTTTGGATTCTTCGCTCCCCTCCCCCTGCGTTTCCCTCGGGCAGCCCCCAGGCACGGCCGCACACGGTCACTCCAGTCTGTCGGTGAGGCTCAGTCTGTGCTGGACTCGTGACTTGGTGTCCGCCTGGGACTGTCCCTGCCGCTGCCAGGGACGATCTACCTTAGTGCCGAGCCTCAGAATTCATCTCCGAGCGCCAGTGCTTCCAAAGCTTTGCTGAAGTGAACATTTTTGCAACTTGGAATTTGCAAACAAGCAGTGGCACTCTGCTCCTCTGCAGGGCGGAAATCGGAGGAGGCTGGGGGAGGGGGCACCAGCGGCCAGCGGCCGTCCCGGGGGTACGGGAAAGGCCATCGTCCCTCAGGGCCCTTCCCAGCCGAGGGCCCAGACACCTGCACCCTTAGGACCAAACGCACGGGAGGAAAAAGCAGGCAGGAGAGGCTTCCTTTACTGAACCTGGATAACGGATATAGCCAGCCCTTCACCACCACGCGTGACGCGCTCACACGGCACCATCATGCGTGACCACTCACACAGCACCACAGGTGACCCACTTATACGGCACCAACATGCGTGGCCCGCTCACATGGATGCACCACACGTGACCCAATCACATGGCACCACACATAACCCACTCACGTGACACCATGATGCATGACCCACTCACACAGCACCATCGTGCATGACCACCCACAAAGCACACACCTGCCGCATCCCCTGCTGACCCGAGGGTCGGTCAGGCAGGCCCGGCTGCTGGTCGGGCCCCACAGGCTGCTGACCCCTGGCTGCTCCCTCCCCCGCCGGGAGCCGAGACGCTGAGACCGCAGCTGGGCAGGGCCCTCGCAGACTCTCTCCTGTGGCCAGACCACGTGCAGACAAACAGCCCCAGCGGAACGGCTGAGCTGCGTGGAACCCGTGGCCTGAGAGTGATCCGCTGACCACAGCGCGTGAGACCGCGCTAAGGGCTCTGTGCTGCGGGGGAGGGAGACTCAACACAACCCAACAACAGTCAAACGCCCATTCTGCCCACCCTGGGGCGAGCCAGGCAGGGCGGGGGCCTCTGGCCAAGGAGTAAACACACTTTCCTGCGCGCAGACTTATTCCTTTAATGTCCCACACGCACACGCGTGCACGCGCGGGGCAGCACCAGCGTCCGCGGGCAGCACGGGCGGAGTGTCCAGGGTGGCCCGGGCGGGGGGCACAGCGTCCAGGTGGCGGTGAGAGCCAGGAGCACACAGCAGAACAAGGGCCGTGCGCGGCTCCGTCGTCCGGGCGAGAGAACGCCCCACGGAGTCCAGCCACGCGCCCGGGAGACACGCGTCAGGCCGGCCGCCGACAGAGCGTGGACGCCGCATCCGAGCCGACGGGAGCGACGGGAGGACCGGTCAGGACACGTGGGCCGCCGAGGAGCCGCTGGGTGGGCCGCCTGCAGGGTCCTGAGCCTCGGGGGTCTGGGCCGCGTCTCGTCCCGGGTGCCCGGTCACCCTGCGGGCGGGCTGGGCCAACTGCGGTCCCAGGGCGAGCAGGGTGGCCCGCTGGCTCGGGGGCAGTGCCAGGGCGGCCCGCGGCAGTGGCGGCGGCGAGGCGAGGGGCGAGGAGGCCTGGAGGCAGCGGAGGGTGGCACAGGGTGGCCGGGGCCGGGGCTCCTCGCGGGGCTCAGCACTGCAAGAGACACAAGCGGGTCAGCGGCGGGGCCGGCCGGCAGGATGCACGCAGGGCCCGGACACGCAGCACGGGGACGGCAGGAGTGCCTGCAGGCCTCGGGGACACCAGGGGCAGTGGGCGCCCGGGCTGCGGGCAGGGGGCGCTCTCTGCGTTCTCTCCGTGGGCAGGACGCGGTTGAGCCTCTGCACACGCTCAGGACCACGAGCCTCACTGCCAGCCAGAGTGGCTCAGTGTCCGCGCTGCGGTGGGGCCCGGGGCTGCGCTCAGCCCAGTTGGGTGCCAGCGTCCCCTCTGAGGGGGAGGCCAGGCTGAGCAGGCCCGTGTGGAGACCGTCCCCCCACCTGCGTGTGACACGAGGAACCAGCCCGCAGTGGCTGCTCCCTGAGCGGGTGAAATCCACCCACAGAACCCGCTTCTGCCCCTCGGAGCCTCGGCGGAAGGCGTTTGTTTCAGCGGGGCTTGGTGCGGAGCTGGAGTATGGGCCCCGTCAGAGCCCAGCGGTCACGTGTGGGCTGGAAGTGCCCTTCCCGGTGGCTCTGAAACAGTGCTCGCTGTTCTGCTGGGGGCATGCTCAGGGGCGCTCGGGGCCACTCCTGGACTGCTGTCTGTCGGGGCCTGGGCACAGCAGCTCCCCCAGGCCAGACACACTCCCGGGAGACACAGAGGCAGAACACAATCATGTCTCCAGCCCGTCTCCGCATCCATGCAGGTCCCCGGATGGCATCTCTCCGGCTCAGGTGCCGAGGGGGGTGGGGCAGCGACGCACCTTGGGGCGAGACGCCCTCCTGCCGTGTGCGCCTGAGAAGCACCTGCCCAGACCCCACCCAGGAGTCCTCGGAGCCTCTCCCCTCCCCGCTACAGCAGGCCAGCTGGGGCCACGGGTGCAGGGAGACGCGGAGTGGGGTTACCTGTCGGGCAGGTGTGTTGGGGGGGCACTGCATGCAGGGGAGACGCAGAGTAGGGCTACTTGCTGGGCAGGTGTGGGTCTGTGTGTGGGGGGGTGGTATGCAGGGTCTTGTGGGCTATGTTGCCTGTGGGGCAGGTGTGGGGGGATCATGCAGGGCACGCGGCTGTGTTACCTGTGGGGCGGGCAGGCGGGGCTCCCGGCTAGCTGTGTGCACTGTTGCGGTACGGGGGCAGCAGGCTGCTGACAATCTAGGAGAAACTGATAAATTAGACATGTACACGGGACCACAGCGAGGGCTCGGCCCCGCCGCCCGGCCAGTCGGGGAGCAGCGTCCCCCTTTCCAATCGTTTGAAAGTGAAGCCAGCGGAATCTGGGGTGGGACCGCCCCGGTGCGGGAGGTCTGAGCTGCTCTGACTCGGGGCCCTTCTGAGCTCCGGAGAGAGCGAGGAAGAGCAGCCCCGACGGCGGAGGGAGGGGGAAGCGGCCTACAGGCCCCTGCCCACAGATGGCAGGGCCGCGCCCCACGCAGGGGCCATCGCAGGAATCGAGCGCGTGGAGCACAGCCACGTGGCGGGACCCTGGCCTTCGGGGAAGCTGGCCGCCAGGGGCCCCCTCTCTCCGCTGCTGCCAGGCCTCACCGGGAACAGCTCTGCCAGGGTTGGCGTGTGGAGCTGATCCTGTGCTCTGAGGTGTGTGCATGTGTGCGTTGTGCCTTTGTGTGTGCGCATGTTTGTGTGTGTGCATATGTACGTGTGCATTTGTGTGTGTGCACGTGTGCATGTTTGCATGTGTGTGCGTGTGCATGTCTGTCCTGAATCGGTCAAGCACGAGTCCGTCTGTCTGGCGGCTGTCAAGCCCAGACGCTGGTGAGGGATACATGCATTCCGGCTGGAGCAAGAGCACAGCGGGGAGGGCGCCTGCCTTGCACGCGGCCCACCCGTGTTCAATCCCTGGGTGATCACTGAGCACAGAGCCAGGAGTAACCCCTGAGCACTGCCGGGTGGCCCCCAAAACAAGCAAACAAACGAAGACATGCGTGCATTCTGCTTCTGCAAAAAGTGTGTAAAAATGTTGAAACTCGGCAGCGTCTCCTGCCGACCGCCTGGAGACCAACAGTGTCCTCAAACACCGCGGAGGCAACACCAAGGCCTCCCCAGCCCAGTTCACAGCCTTGCCCCGGGGAGGTCGGCTGAGGCGGCCCCCGGAACCGCAGACCTGCCGGCCCAAAGGAAGTGGCCACTCATGCCGCACCTGCCCGGCCTGATCCGGGATGCCCACGCGATGCCGAGCCCGGCAGGAGCGGGCACCTCGCAGCGGCCTGACTGGAGGGATCTCTGCTGAGCAGAACAGGAAACGCCCTCCCGCCGACCACGCAGAGTTCCAAGGGAGCACCACCCTGCTCGAGTCAGCACAGCGACTCCCTCTGTGGGACTCCGAGTCCTAAGTGGTGGATTCCTTTTTGCTCCCTTTGGATCCCAATAGCTTCCCTGGCAGCAACCTGGATTCCGTCACCCAGCAGTTGGCTTGAACTGTTTAGGTTACGTGGGGGTGCTGCCCTCTCGTGGTGCACCTGGGCGAAAGCACCGGCCAGAGAGGAACGGGAGCCCTTGAAAAATCAAAGGTCATTTAGCCCCCCAAAGGGACCAGGCGGGGAGAGGGGCCAGTGCCGCAGGCCGGCCGCGGACTTGCACGCGCCAATCAGTTCCACGGCTGGTACTTATGGTCCCCGGAACCCCGGAGCCCGCGTGGCCCCTGGGACACGGCTGTGGGACCCGCCAGGTGGCTCCTGCTGGTTCTGCACAAGTCCTGGAACAGAGAGCCTCCGGCCGGCGTATCCGGGCCTTTAGCTGCTCACTGACAGGAGCCGGCACTTCGGCCTGGAGCACAGCCCAGATGTTCTGTCACCCGAGGCGTGAGGATGCCTGGGGACCAGCAAGTGCAGCCAGGAAGGAGCCCGCTGCCCACCCACCGGGCCTTCCTGGCATCGCGGGGCTGGGGTCTCTTCCTTAGCAGTGACACTGCTTGGATGACTTTTGTGTCCTGATGACTCACGAGTGCTTAACTCAGTGTTTTCCTTGGAGAATAAGAAGCTGAGCCAAAGAGTTACTAACAGGGGGAAGGCGGCTGCCCACATACAGCCAACCCTGGTCACGCCCTGGCACTGCACAGGGTCCCCGAGCCCACCAGGAGTGACCCCGAGCACAGAGCCGGGAGTGACCCTGAGCACAGAGCCGGGAGTGACCCTGAGCACAGCCGGGTGTGGCCCCCAAAGAAAGAATAAAAGCAAATCTCAGCAATAAGGTGACGTGAATGAGACTAGAAGGAGCCGTACTGCCTGTCTTCCGGCCCCTGTCACCACGATTACCGCGACATCTGGCTGCGGGGAGGACCTGGCGGCAGATGCAGAGCCCTCTCCCTACCAGACCCTGCCCGCCACCCTGGAGAGCTATAGCTCATCGCCTTGGGGGTCGAGGATGGCAATTACATGGCTGGCGAGGGGCCACGGGTAGGTCAGCGGAACCATCAAGCTGGGCCGGGCGGGAGAGAGTGAGGAGACAGACAGAGGGCCTGGTCCTCTCAGAAGACGGGCGCCTTGGGCAGACAGCGGTCCAGAGGCAGAGCGAAGACAGAGGTGGCGGTGGGTGGGACAGCTACAGAGGTGGAGGCGGAGACAGCGCTGGTGGAGTTGCAGATGATGGTGGTGGAGGTGGTGGTGGAGATACAGATGATGGTGGTAGAGGTGGTGGTGGAGATGAGGATGATGGTGGTGGAGGTGGTGGAGGTGGGGCGGAATGCGACACCCCCAGCACTCAGGCCTGGTGTCCACCCATCAGTGGTCTATGCTCCAGCTGCCCCCTCCTCTCTATCCTCATTTCTAGGCGAGTCTCTGGGTGTGAGTCGGGCTGCGGTCCCAGGGCTGGCCTGCGCCTGTTTCTGTCCGGACCCTTGACCCGAGGGAGAGAGCAGGAACTCCACCTACGGATGGGTGGGAGGCACCTGCAGACCCCAAAGCTCCTCAGCAGGCCCAGTGGCCTGTGCTGGCCTCCTCAGGATGGGCCCCTGGGCCCCGGCACCCGGCCTGCGTGCTCCAGAGTCTGTGCCATCCTTCCTGCAGGCCGGCCTGGACGCCGGGGGAGTGGGCACCGGGTGGCGGCTGGGTGACACTGCCCACGCCAGGCACCAGGGGAGGGCCAGGCGTGCAGGGCTGCCCTCGCTGCTCTGGGATGGAGAGCCTCGGGCAGCTGAAGGAACCGTGGGGTGGACGCATGGGGGGGGGTGGCCGGCGGCCCCCACACGGGCGGGCGGGAAAGCCGTTTCCTTGCTCACACGGCAGCCGCACTGGACTGTCGCTGGCTCACACAGCAGAGGAAATGCCTGCCAGTGCCTGGCTGGCAAGTCCAGCAAAGGAGCCGGAGCAAGAGTGGACGGGAGCAGGCGGCCAGGTGCCGATGACACGAGACAGAGCCCGGAGGGCAGCGGCCAGGGGTGGGTCCCTGCAGCAGGCGGGCGTGGACCAGGGCCCCTCCACTGGGCTGCTACGTCAGTGGCATTGCTGCCTCAGGAGACGAGCTGCTGGTGGCCACCGCGGGCCCTGGGCCTCTGTGCACGTGGGCCCAGCTGGCCTGAGGAGGGCCAGGGGGCGAAGTCCAGTCAGAGGCCATCCTCCTGCCCGAGGAGGCACCCCGTGTCCGAGAGGCTCCAGGAAAGCGTCTCAGCTGAGCTCTGCTCCCGAAGGGGCGTGTCAGGGCTTAAAGAGCCGCAGCTGCTTCCACGTCTTCACCCAGATTCCGAACTAAGCTGATTCCACGCTGGTCAATGCGACGATGACAGAGACCCCCACCAGCCCATCCCACGCCTGCCCGCTGATGCTAAAATCATCAATACACGTTTCAGAGAAGAACACTGTCCAAAAGATTCGATGAACAGTGCATTGTCCTTCAGAAAGGAAAGACTTCTTACCAGTTTCTTGGATAAAGCTCATAAAAGTCGATTATTTCCTGGGAATGTAATCCAGGACCAGCTCTGCACCCTCCCCTCGTTCACCTGTGTACAATCGTACACACCAATGACACGCCCTCTCTCCTTAATGTGGCCTGTCCAACATCGCTTGGCCGAGGCCACAGTTCCACCCTGCCAGTCACATGAGGCGGGGGGGAGGGTCTGCGCTCCTGCTCCGAGCTGGCCCACCAGATCCTGGCGGACACCACGAGGTCACACGAAGGTCTGAGCAGAGCCCCTGGTGCACGACTGAACCCCGCCCGGCAGCCCAGCTCTGCCTTCCCCCCTCCGTGGCCTCAGCCCCGTGGCAAGGGCCGGGCTACTGCAGCACTATGCTGGCGGCTCTGGCGGGGTCTCTCCTGGCCGTGCTCCCCGAGGGAGAGCTGTCGGTGGGCAGGAATGAGCGCCACGGCCCACGGGGGGCCGGCGACCACAGACCCTGTTCCCCGAGCGACGGCCTTCTGAGACAGGCAGGGGCATCTGTGTGTGGCCAGGTACCAGGGCTGCAGGGCAGGGCAGACAGCGCATGGACACGGAGGGCCAAGCGGGTGGACGCCAGCGGGGAAGCAGCGGGCGTGGAGCCGGTGCAGAGACCAATGGTCAGCGGCCCCGAGCAGGGATGGGTGCGTGGCCCCAGCAGTGACCCTTGCCAGCTACAGCCATCACACACACACACACACACACACACACACACACACACACACACGCACGCACGCACGCACGCGACGCTGATGACATGAGACGTGTGAAATGGCGATGGCGGGAAACGTGTGGCTCTGCCCGGTGCCCAGGAGAGGGGCCTTCCGCGCAGGACACCAGGCTCTGCCTCGGACATGGGCCCCCTCTGTCTGCTGGAGGGGGCGAGGGTGGGTCCGGCAGGAGACACTTCGATCACACGATCACACGGTGGCAGGCCGAGCCGCTCCTCCCTGCCATGTCAGCCCAGCCCCCGTCTCGCAGGGAAGGGATGGAGCCGGGGCTCCCGGGCAGGTTCAGGGCGGCGGAAGAGAAGGAGGTGGGGGGTGAAACCAGGTGACTTTACTGGACGCTCTGGGGCTCCCCTCGGGGGACACGGCACAGGCCAGTGCAGCGCCACACGACTGTCCAGGGCAGCAGGGACGTGAGGGCCACGGGGAGACGGGGATGGGACGGGGGCCATGGCCAGGATGCTCTGCTAGGGACACTCCGGGGCCCTGACCTCACCCCCCCAGCCTGGACAGGCCCAGGGCCCACGCGAGCAGGCTGCGGGCAGCCCCGGGAGCCCCCACAGACACTCCAATTCTGGGAGGAAAGGGCCCGGACAGAACCTGACCACTGTCCCGGGCTGCCAGCCGCAGGCAGGGTTCAGCTGTGTCCCTGTGGCCCGTTCCTACTTCCTGTCATGTGTGTCCCTGTGGCCCCGTCCCTACTTTTTGTCACACGTGTCCCGGGTGGCTCCATCATAGCTCCTGTCAGGCGTGTCCCTGTGGCCTGTCGCTACTTCCTATCAGGCGTGTCCCTGTGGCCCATCCATACTTCCTGTGAGGCGTGTCCCTGTGGCCCAACCCTATTTCCTGTCACGCGTGTCCCTGTGGCCCGACCCTATTTCCTGTTCATGTGTGTCCCAGGTGGCTCCATCGTAGCTCCTGTCACGCATGTCCCTGTGACCCGTTCCTACTTCCTATCACGCGTGTCCCTGTGGCCCATCCCTACTTCCTGTCAGGCGTGTCTCTGTGGCCCTGTCCCTACTTCCTGTCAGGTGTGTCCCTGTGGCCCGTCCATACTTCCTGTGAGGCGTGTCCCTGTGGCCCAACCCTACTTCCTGTCACGCGTGTCCCTGTGGCCCGTCCCTACTTCTTGTCACACGTGTCCCAGGTGGCTCCATCGTAGCTCCTGTCACGAGTCCCTGTGGCCCATCCCTATTTCCTGTCAAGCTTGTCCCTGTGGCTCATCCCTACTTCCTCCCAGGCGTGTCCCTATGGTCTGTTCCTACTTCCTGTCACGTGTGTCCCTGTGGCCCATCCCTACTTCTTGTCACACGTGTCCTGGGTGGCTCCATCGTAGCTCCTGTCACGAGTCCCTGTGGCCCATCCCTATTTCCTGTCAAGCCTGTCCCTGTGGCTCATCCCTACTTCCTCCCAGGAGTGTCCCTATGGTCTGTTCCTACTTCCTGTCACGTGTGTCCCTGTGGCCCATCCCTACTTCTTGTCACACGTGTCCTGGGTGGCTCCATCGTAGCTCCTGTCACGCATGTCCCTGTGGCCCCGTCCCTACTTCCTGTCAGGTGTGTCCGTGTGGTCTGTCTCTACTTCCTGTAACGTGTGTCCCTGTGGCCCATCCCTACTTCTTGTCACACGTGTCCTGGGTGGCTCCATCGTAGCTCCTGTCACTCATGTCCCTGTGGCCCCGTCCCTACTTCTTGTCAAGCTTGTCCCTGTGGCCCATCCCTACTTCCTGTCCAGGCGTGTCCCTGTGGCCCCCGCCGGCTGCCGGCTGGCCCTGCAGCGGGAGGGGCAGAGGCGGTTCGGGGCTGGTGGGCGGAAGGGGCCGCTCTCCCCTCACTCCTCATCGCATGCACCCGGGGGGGCTGTTTACCTGCTGGCGCCACGGTTAAGCATTTTTCCGTGCCGAGCCGACGCCCTTGGAGGAGCTGGCTCCGGGGAGGGCCCCTGGGCAGTGGGTCTGTGGACGTGGGGGCGGGGGGCCCTCTTAATAAACTCGGGCGGTAGGAGGCCCCCGCGGTCCCGGGACGGCTCTGATCACAAAGGGAAGGTGAGAATTGTCTTGCAGGAGATCCAAGAAAATACATATAGGAAACAAAAGAGTTGGACTTTAATTACCTTCCCAGGTCTGACAGACACAGCATCACTCAGAGCCCTGACCCGTCCGGACGCCCCTCGTGGCCTCCCTACCGTGGGCTCCCGCAGACGCCCCTGCGCGCGGGGGCCGGGCTGGCCCATGGGAGCCGCCCGTGGGCACCCTGGCCTCCGGCACGGCCCCCGGGGCCCAGAGAGCGGCGGTCGGTGCCCTGCCGGCCTGGGGCCGCCGGTCTCCCGGAGAGGGCTGGTGGCGGGGTGACCCGGTCGCCCCCACCCGCGGCGCGTCAGTTCCAGGCGGGCCCCGGCACCAGGCTGGGGAGGCCACGGCACGAGGGCCTTGTCCGGGGCGGCCGGATGCCCGGCGGGCCCTGCGCGGGCGGCGGGAACCGCGTGTCGGCGGCGGCGGGCGTGGGCGCCGCCCCACTTACTTTCGGGCTTCCGAGCCGGCTCCTCCCCACTCTGCCTTTGCTGCGCCTCGACTGCTCGTGGTCGAACTCCAGGTCCTCCAGCCGCTGCGTGAGGGCCAGTTTCTGCTGGATGGCCATCCGCAGCAGCGTGTTCAGCGTCTTCTTCTCGTCCTCGGCCGCCGCCAGCTGCCTCTGCATCTCGTCCAGCTGCGTCACGTACTCGTCACATCTGGAGCAGAGGCAGGGGGCGGGGCGGGGGTCAGGGGTCGGGGGCCGGGTGCCTTCTGGAGGAAGCGGGCACTAGGGCCCCCAGGGGACCTGCAACTGGGTGACGCCGGGCTCCGGGGGCTGTGGGTGCTGGGGGCGGGCACGGTTCCTGCGGCTCGGCCCACAGCCCACTCCTGGCGGGAGAGACCCTCGAAGGACGGAGGCCCTCGAAGCCCCAACTCCCGCCCCTGCCCCCCACGCCCTCCCGCTCTGAGCCAGGAGCAGCCCCGAGCACGGCCAGGGGAGCCGGCCCTCCTCCCAGCACCCACCGCAGGGTGGCCAGATCCTGAACCTGCGAATCCGCCCACACTTCTCAGCCCCGAGGCCGGGCAGGGAGGAGTCCCGGGCAGCAGGACGAGCTCCAGACCTGGGCAGGAAGGACTGCCTAGTGGTCTGTGCTTCCTGAGCTCCCAGGCCCCTCCAGACGGCCACCTCGCTCCCTGCACGAGCTGCTGGTCTGTGCATCGCCCTAGGTAGGCCCGTGGCGTGGGAACAAGCCAAGTCCTGCGGCAGTTTAGAAGGCAAGAGACTGTAGGGATCGACCCCGTGACCTCCGGGGGCACCCAGAGGACACCCGGGGTCAGTAGCACACCCGGTGCCCAGCGCCTGCCCCAGGTAGGGGGAGGGGGTGTCCTCAGACTTGGCCGTATTGTGCTCTGAGTTCTTTCTCCAGAGATTTGCACTTCCTGGGCCCCACGGCAGCCCTGTGACGGGGTGAGGGAGGGTCTCCCGGAATCCACGTGCCGCTTTGTATGCGGAGAATTCTGAGCATCAGAGAGATCGTGGCTGCCCGTCGGGAGGAAGGGGGGGCAGAAGCTGCAGGGACCCCCCCTTCTCTGCACCCAGTCCCGAGACCTCTGTCGGCTCAGCGCAAAGCGCTCGTCTCCGGCTCAGAGGGCAGAGAGGCGACGGGCCAAGAGCATCCCCAGAGGTGAGTCACCAGCGGGGCCCGGACTGTCCTAGCTGCCCACCCCACCCCACCCCACACCCCCCGCCACCAAGCCAGGCAGACCTGGGCTTCTTCACCCGAAAGAAGCACCCGCCTGGCTTCACTACCCTCCTGAACTGGCCACAAAGCCCCTCGGTGGAGGCAAATGCCAGCGGCTGGTAGCACACGGTGGGAGCCTTCTCGGGGCTCAGCTCACACACAGGCTCAGTACACACACGGGGCTCAGTACACATGGGGCTCACTGCACACGCAAGCTCAGCACACCCACTCGTGCCCCTGGCTCAGCACCTGCTCTGCGGGACGCTGACCCCGCTCAGCGGCTCTCCCTGCCCCCGCCATGTGCCGCTGCCCAAGCCGTGTCCTGGGGTCCCGCGTGCCCGGGATGCGTACCTTGTTGCGAACATGGCCCTCAGCGAGGAGAAGGTGGCGGCGTCTTCCTTCAGGGCCTTCAGCTCGTTCCGGAGTTTCGTCATGGTCTCCGTCACCATGGCCTTCTCGTTCTCGTACTTGTTCTTGAGGTTGGCGAGGGCCACCTCGGCCGTCTGGAGCAGAGACAGCACTTAGCTCCCGTGACACTCACCCTCACCGGGCAGGGGGCTCGCGGGGGACCCTCCACGGCCACTGTGCTTCCCCCGAGTCATTGGAGCAGGGACGGCGTCTCAGCGAGCACCCGCCTGGCTTCACTACCCTCCTGCCCTGGAGTAGAGTGGTCACCTTGGCTGTGAGGGGGGGGCGGCCCTCAGTGTCCAGTTCACCACTGGCCCGTGGGACTACGTGTGATGCGTCACATCCCGCAACGGCCAATAGAGAAACAGCCAGAAACCGGGAGTGTGTGTGGCGGGCAGGCCGGGGCGCAGGGCTGTGGGGGAGCCCATGCCGTCAGCTCTGCCCCGCATGCCCAGCGTGGCCGCCGGCTGCCGTGTGCCCAGAGCTGCCCTGCAGGTCCCGGCACCCCAGGGCCTGAGCTTACCCGGCTCCAGAAGCCCCGGTCTCACCATGACCCTCCCCAGGCCGAGCCGGCTCTGCCTGTGTGGGTCCCGCCTCCCACACGCTGGGGGTAATCGAAGTCAGGGGGCGCGTGGCCCCGGCCTGGCACGTCCACCCAACTAAGGGGGCCTCAGCCCCAAGGCACAGACGGCAGTCAGGGGGCGCTCGACGGCTGCGGGTCTTAAGGAAAGCCGACGGCAGGATGCCTTCCAAGGGGCCAGTGGCTCCCCAGCGGCTGAGGGGGACACGGCACGTCACCGGGTCCCAGTGCGGCTCTGGGGAGCAGGGGGGGTGGGGCTCTGGCTCCCTCTGCAGAGACACTGGCCGGGACTGGACACTGCGCTGCGTGCTGTCCACGGCCACGAGCACTCGGACGGGAAACCTGCTGGTCACCGACACGAGGGCGCAGCTGGGCGCTGGTGTGCAGCAGCCCGGCCGGCCCTGGAGTCATGCCCCTGGCGCCGAGACCCAGGTGTGCACCAGCCGGGCCACCCACCTCGCACCCCCTGTGCTCGCTCTCGCTCTCGGCACCTTCCCTGCAGCCCCCGTGGGTCTCAGCTGCCCGGCGCCGCCCGGCCCACCCGCTCCCCCGTGCCAGCCGGGTGCGGGCGGGGAGTCACCTGCTTGTTGGCCTTCAGCACGGCCCGCAGCGTGGCGATCTGCTCGCGCTTGGTGCTCAGCAGGGCCTTGAGCTTCAGCAGCTCCTCCATCAGGGCCTCCTTGTCCTTGTCGGCCACGGGCGCCAGCTCCCGCGCGGCCGCCCGCTGCCGGGACAGCTGCAGCGAGCGGTCCACGGCCTTCTGCAGGTGCCGGATCTGGTCGCGCACGATGGCGTGCAGGTTGTGAATGTTCATGGGCTCCCGGCGCAGGTCGCTGGAGTCCAGCACGGGCGAGGAGGGCGGGGCGGTGATCACCGGGGAGACGCTGGGCGTCCTGGCGGGCTCCGCGCCCTCCCCGGGGGCCGCCTCGGCGGCGGCGGGGCTCGGCGTGTCCGTGGCGGGGGCGGCGGGGGCGGCAGCGGCGCGCCGGGCCGGGCGGGGGGAGAGCAGCGCCCGGGGGTCGTCGGGGCCCTTGAGGCTGCCGCTGCGGGTGGCCCGGCTCTGGCGGTAGTAGTCAAGCATGACCCGGTTGGGCGTCTCGTTGTTGCACAGGCACACGTGGTGATAGAGCTGCGCCAGCTCCTCGCTGAACGCCACCAGCTCGTCCTGGGCTGCGCTCAGCGTGCCGTGGCTCTCGCTGGCCAGGCCGCTGACCCGCTGCAGCTCCCGCTCGGCCCGCTCGGCCTTGTCCCCGCTGTCCCGGGCCGCCTTCTCCAGGCCGCTCACCTGCTCGGCGTAGCGCTGCACGCGGCCCTCGTAGCGGCTCTTCTCCTCGCTGAAGGCCTCCAGCGCCTGGTTGTACTTCTCCTTCAGCGCCTTGATCTCGGCCTTGAGGCCGATGACCTCGGTCACGGCCACCCGGTACTTGCACTCCAGGACCTCGAGGCCGTGGATGTCCACCTCGTAGTCGTGGGCCTCCCCGTCCGGCTCCTGGCCCTTCTCCCCGTCCGGCTCGGGCCGGGGCTCGCCGCGCAGGCCCCGCATGGCGTTGACGTGTTCCGTGAGCCGGTGCACGCGTGCGTGCTGCTCCGTCAGCGCGCCCTTGGTGTGCTCCAGCTGCGTCTGCGACTCCTGCAGGCTGGCCAGCAGGGTGGCCTTCTCCCGCTCCACCTGCCGGGGGACAGGGCGTGAGTCCGGGCAGCCTGGCACCGCACCCGGGACGACCGGACCTGCGCTGCCTGGGCCCTCAGCCACGTGGCGTCTCCCCGGACGCTCCTCACGATGCACCGTCAAGACCGTTCGAGGGAACCGCGTAACCGCGTGGGGGATCCACGCAAGGGAGGGTCCGGGCCTGGGATGCCCGCATGGCCAAGGCCCCCTGGTTCCCACTGAGCTGGAGTGGGCTCCCTCTGCAGGAACCGCGCGGTGCACATAGGCCCGGCTCGCTCTCCCACACGCGTGCACACACTCACGCCAGCTGAACTCGACTCAGACGCTCCGGCTGTCCCGTAACTCGCCGAAACGGAATTCAGCTTCGAGAGAAGCAGAGGCTGAAGACAGCCTCTCCCCGGGGTTCCGGACCATCCATGCCCCGGGCAGAGAGAGGTGGGCTCTCCTTCCCAGGGCCGAGTCGCTTTATTAAATAATACTAACTACCGTAACTGCTGCCTTCGGATAAGCACTGAACACCCCAAATAGACAGGCAACCAATTTGAAAGTCTGTAGTATAAAAGGCAGAGAACGTAGAGTAAATGTAGATCTAAAAGAATAATTTAAAAACCTGAGTGCCCAAGAACAGATGACTGGTTAAAGAAACTTTGGTATGTTTATGCAATGGAGTACTATGTAGCGGTTAGAAAAGATGAAGTCATGAAATTTACATACAAGTGGTTCTACATGGAAAGTATCATGCTAAGCGAAATGAGTCAGAAAGAGAGGGACAGACATAGAAAGGTTGCATTCACCTGGGGAACATAAAGTAACAAAATAGGAGGCTAACACCCAAGAGTGGCCGAGATTAGTACCAGGAGGTTCACTCCATGGTTTGGAGGCCAGCCTCACATGCTAGGGGAAAGGGCAGCTCAGACAGAGAAGGGAGCACCAAATAAAGGGTGTTGGGAGGATCCTCCCAGGATGGGAGATGCGTGATGAGAGTAGACTGTAGACCAAACATGATGTCACCCATTGCCTCTTTTGCAATCCACAGCACCCAAAAGGAGAGAGAGAAAACAGAGAGGAATGCCCTGCCACAGAGGCAGGGTGGGATGGGGGGAATGGGGGGTGGGAGGGATACTGGGATCTGTGGTGGTGGGAAATGGGCACTGGTGGAGGGGTGGGTACTCGATCATTGTATAACTGAAACCCAAGCACAAAAATTTGTAAGTCTATAACTCTACCTCATGGTGTTTCACTAATATAAATGAAAAAAAAGAATAATTTATAAAGCGTTCCAAATAGAAACTTCAAAAATGAGCCATTCGTCTGAGTAACACACTGGCTTTGTTATTTTACAGGTGGCGTGATTATGTACCGAGAATATCAGGTCTCTGTTTCGTCATTAAAAACAGGCAGAGGGGCTGGAGTGATAGCATAGCGGGGAGGGCGTTTGCCTTGCATGCGGCCGCCCCGGGTTCGATTCCCAGCATCCCATATGGTCCCCCGAGCACCGCAGAGCCAGGAGTAACCCCTGAGCATCACTGGGTGTGACCCAAAAAGAAGATATAAATAAATAAAAATAGGCAGAAAGCACACCGTTACCTGGGAATAAAATAAAGCGTTCTCCCCCTCCACAGAGAGAACCATTTATGCGTTAAGAGATTTTGCAGGTTTATAAATCCAGTGTCTTCCAGTAAGAATAACTACATCAGTCCAGGCTTCAGAGGCAACGGCACTGGCTAGCACCTGCACCGTCCTCTCGACTCTTGTGGGACAGCAACACAGCCACACAGCCAGACACGGACTCCAGCACACTCGGACACGAGGCCTCAGCTGGGCCGCTGACCCGGGGAGCACTGTGCAGCCGTGTGTGTGTGTGTGTGTGTGTGTGTGTGTGTGTGTGTGTGTGTTTGGGATGGGGTGTGAGCACTGGAGGGAGGGACGCTGACCCTGGGGCTGGGGTAGGTGCAACCAGCAATGACTTTGAACGTCACGGTTCTTTAATCCAATAAAAAAAATCATTAAAAACAAGCTTTTAAAACTAAATAAGCAATAAACATCACGAGACCTGTGTAGAGGGTAAAAGTGATGCTGCCTGTCTGTCCATCAAAAAGAAGGGACCGTTCGGATCGCCACACTTCCCTGGTCTGGGCGCACTAGCCCTCAAGCTCTTCTGAACTCCTAGAGCACAATGGTTAAATCGGATCATGAGAACATCGTCAAGATTGGACTCACTGCCCCTGGACATCCCGCACAAACTGTGGGGTGGATGGTCCCGACGGTCCGCCAGGTCGGATGTGCCGGCAGTACAGCTGGTTGAGCCTGTCCACACCCGAACTGGAGCGGACTCCGGGCCATGCGACCGGCAGGTGCTGGGCACTCCAGGTAGGCGAGGGCCGGCCCCTGCACCCTGGGGAGGTGCAGCCAAGACGCCCTCAGCCCAACACCCATGAACTTGGAGCCTCCCCATGCAGGACCCGACACCAGCGACCGTTCCAGAGCCCCCACGGGAGATAGTTCTGCAGAGCTGAGGTCCCCCAGCCCATCCCTGACCCAAGGGAGATACATGCGGGCACCCAAAGGACCCCACATGGCCTATGCTGCCTCCAGCGCACGGGGCACCCGCCCAACAGCACCTGTGGGAGAGACGTCCTGGAGGCAGCACAGGGACCCCTGACCTGCCGTGCAGCTACAGGGCAGGGAGGTGTGTGTGTGGGGGGGAAGTCACTGACTTGCCCCTGCAAGTACAAGGCAGGGAGGAGACGGAGGTCCCTGACCCACCCTGCAGGTACAGATGGACCAGACGGCGGGAGAGAGCTCCTCCGTGCCCTGGAGACAGGACGGGGAACTTGGACCCACCTGCAGGCACGGCCAGGGCAAAGGGGGGGGGGCAGAGGCAGAGAGGCCGGGAGTGCCCGGAGGAGAGACTCTGTGCTACGACCCCGGGCCAGGAGGACAGCCATGAGCAGTGACTCCCTGCTGTCCCCAGATGGCCCGGGAAGCAGGGGCAGCTCTGGGGTCACCCCAACGATTCTTCCCAAGCTGGGCCCGTCTGTGGGCAGCAAATAGAGGACAGGAGCAGAGCCCTGGCCCCCGGCCCCTGGCGTCCACCCCACGGCATGGCAGGGAAGCTGAGATGCCGTCACTTGGTCCTGCTGGACGCGAGCTCACGGTGTGTGCGGGCAGGCATCAGCACGGAGTCCCTCCCAGGAAGCACTTTCTTCCCACCTGGTTCAGGCAATGGAAACAGCACAGACCTGGGTAGCACTGCCCGCACACAGGGCCCTTGCGGCCAGAGGGAGGCCTGACGGGTCCTCGGGCCTGGCCTCTCGCTCACTCTCGGCCTGAGCTAGAACTGACTAACCCTGATGGACACAACCCTGGGAGCTGGACGATGCAGTCTCAGACTCTGGGGAACAGAACCCAGCCACCACGGGGAGCCAGTCAGGAGGCTGGTAGGCCGGGAACCACTGTCAGGGCACCAGACCGAATGGAGAGATCACTGTGAGTCATCAGGATGGAGGGGACACTGTCAGTCACCAGGACAGAGGAGACACTGTCGGGGACCAGGATGGAGGGATCACTGTCAGTCACCAGAATGGAGGGGTCACTGTCAGAGCACCAGGATGGAGGTGACACAGTCAGTCACCAGGATGGAGGGGACACTGTCAGGGCACCAGGATGGAGGGGACACTGTCAGGGCACCAGGATGGAGGTGACACAGTCAGTCACCAGGATGGAGGGATCACTGTCAGGGCACCAGGATGGAGGGGACACTATAAATCCAGTGTCTTCCAGTAAGAATAACTACATCAGTCCAGGCTTCAGAGGTATGGCACTGGAGGTCAGTGTGCCTGGTGAGCTACCCACGGATGGGCACCAGGATGGAGGGGACACTGTCAGGGATCAGGATGGAGGGATCACTGTCAGTCACCAAGATGGAGGGGTCACTGTCAGTCACCAGGATGGAGAGGTCACTATCAGGGTACCAGGATGGAGGGGACACTGTGAGTCACCAGGATGGAGGGACACTGTCAGTCACCAGGATGGAGGGGACAATGTGAGTCACCAGGATGGAGGGGACACTGTCAGGGACCAAGGCACCCGGGCCTCCCGTCCCCCGCGGCCCCGCAGGAGCCCGCCCCGGTACCTGCACCAGCTGCTGCTTCAGCTTCTGGATCTCGGAGATGTTGAGCTCGCTGAGCAGGGACTCGGCCTTCCGCAGCGAGGGCGCCCGGTAGTCGCCGGGCAGCTTCAGGGGCCCGTGCAGGTGCCCGTTGAGCTGCTCGTCGTTGTTGGGCTCCCCGCCCTCCTCGGCCAGCTTGAGCCCGTCCACGGCCAGGCTGAGCGGGTGGTCGCCGAGCGTCACGTGCTGCGCCAGCTCCTTGCGCAGGCAGTTCTTCTGCTCCCGCTCGACGCGCAGCGTCTCCAGCGCCTCCTCCAGCTGCTGCTCCGCGATCTCCTTCAGCCGCAGCGCGTCCTCCAGCTGGCTGTTGAGCAGCGCCGCCTCCTCCTCCGACCGCTTGATCTCGTGCTTCAGGCCCTCGTACTCCACCTGCAGGGGCGGCGGGGCGGTCTGAGGCGGGCGTCCTGCCGCCCCGTGTGTCCACTCCACGCCGGGTCCATCGTGACCTGCGTGGCCCACGTGGTAGGGCGTGCCGACGTGCACATGTTGTGACCACAGCGCGTCTTGCGTTATGGGACGCTGGACTGCACACACGTACCCCCCACGCACACATACTATGCATGTGCCCTGGAAAACACACGTGTATGTGAGGTGGCCAGACGTTATGTGAACGCCCACGTGTGGTATACACATCACACTGACACGGTAATATGCATGTGTGTCTATGTACCTATATTAGCTTGTCCAGTACACGTGTATTATGGCTATATCATGTAGTGTAACAACACACGTGGACCACGTGTGCACACCAGTATGCACGTCATGGTACATACAATGTACACATATCACATTATATGTACTATATAATGTGATGACTCATTATGACTGATTATAGCTGACATACTCCTGGTTTTGCTTTGGAGCCTGGGACGCTCAGGGCTTGCTCCCGGCTCTGCACTCAGGAATCACTCCTGGCGGTGCTCAGGGGCCCCTATGGGATGCTGGGAATCGAACCCGGGTCAGCCACATGCCCTCCCTGCTGCATGATCTCTCCAGCCCCGATAGCTGATATACTTTTTGATGTTCTATAAACAAAATAAGACGACAGACTTGTATACAAAAATATGTTCTATCATAATAAGTATAAACAATATAAATTCAGTTCTCAAGACGGAAAGCTGTCCGTGGCCTCGTGAACTTTCCTTCTGAGGTGCAGGTGATTAAAAGGAGGTCAGTGTGCCTGGTCAGCTACCCACATCTCTGGAGACGCCCGTGAACACCGGACACAGCCCATTCACAACACCTCCAGGCTGTCTCCCGAGAACTTTCTCTTATGTACTGCAGCAGCAAGGAGCCTCTCTGGGGGTGGGGTCGCCAAGCGTGTCTGAGGGCTGGGGAGGAAGTGGAGGAGTCGCTGTGGCTGTGGCCAGCCAGGTGCCTGCCCCCTGCAGAGTGCAGTGCCCAGACCCTGTGGGGTGCCCCAGAGCGGCCAGCCCAGGGGACGCTCCTCCACGCCTTCTCTCCACAGCTGGCCCTGCTCAGGAGGAGGAGACGCTTCCCACACAGGAGCCAGCGTCCCCTTCCCGGAAGAGTCGGAATTCCCTCCTGAGCGAGTGCTCGCCAGGTAAGCGGGTGGGACAGGAGCCACACGGATGGAGCCACGACGCTGACCCACGCGGCTCCGACTCTGGCTTTCACGCTGGCGTTGGTTCAACCTCGGAGGCTCTGAGGGCCTGGGACAGACCCCCCCCAACCCTGCCCCGGCCCCCACTCCTACCCCGCCTGCCCTCCACGTGGCCTCTCTGGCCGGGACAGGCTGGCTCACGTGGCCGAGAGCAGGAGGGGTGAGACCCAGCGTCAGAGCACGCCAGGACCCTGCGCAGAGACCAAGAGAGAGGGAGGGGGAGGGGAGCACAGAACCGGGGGAGGGCAGGGAAGGGACCACCCGAGCTGCTCGCTCACACCGACAGGCCCACACCAAGCCCTGGGCTTTCAGTTATCTTTGTCGTCTTGTTTGGGGGCACAGTCAGCAGTGCTCAATCTGACTCCTGCGGTGTGGGACCATGACCAGGGCCGTGCAGGGACTGAGCCTGGGTCTCCTGCATCCAGAGCATGTGCTCTGTCATTGAGCCACCTCCCCGGCCCCAAGACCCACGTTTAGAAGTTGTCAGGTTGAGAGAGAGAGAGAGAGAGAGAGAGAGAGAGAGAGAGAGAAAGCCCCTGCCATAGAGGCAGGCTTACAGGTGGGGGGTGACGAGAGGGACCCTGGGGACACTGGTGCTGGGAAACGTACACTGGTGGGGGACGGGTGTTGGACACTGTGTGACTGAACCCAACCATGAACAGCTTTGTAAGGATCTATCTCACAGTGATTAAGTAACAAAATATGAAAAGCAAATAAATAAATGAAAGGAAGTTGTCAGATTAGACTGATCAGAGACGCCAAACCAGCTCTGGAAGCAAATGCCGACAGCTGCAGGCTGAGGTCGCCCTCATCCACGAAGCCGGCTTCAACCCGTCTGGGTCTCCTTCGACGCCAGCCTGAGCAGCGATGCCAGGGGCTCACACACACCATTCCAGGGGGAGAAAGTGTGGGACGGGCACCGTGTGTGTGTGGGGTGTGCTGGACGTGTGCTGGGGGTGCGTGTACGGTGTAGAACGTGCAAGGAGTTTGTGCCCTATGCGTGCGTTGTGCCGCGCATGTGCGACTTGGTGTGAGCAGTGTAAGCGTGTGACGTGTGTGGTGTGAGGTGTGCATGTACGGCCTGGTGTGTGTAGTGTGTGTGGTGCGCGGGATATGCACGTAGTGTGATGCTTGTGGTATGTCTGTATGGTGTGGTGTGTGGTGTAGTACACACAAATGACGTGGTATTTAGGGTGTGCACGTATGGTGTGGTGCATGTGCATGTGGTGTGCATGTATGATGTGGTATGTCTGGCGTGCTGTGCATACGTGATGTGGTGTAGTGTGAATTCATGATGTGGTGTGTCGTGTGCGTCTATGCTATCATGTGCGGTGTGCGTGTACAGTGTGGTTGCGTGTGGTGCATGTATGGCGTGGTGTGTGCGGTGCGTGTACGGTCTGGCGCGTGTGGTGCGTGTTCGGCACGGCGCATGTGCTGCGTGTGCATCGCGGTGCGTGTGGCGCGTGTCCGGCGCGGTGCGTGTGCCACACCTGGTTCTGCTTCAGGGTGGACACGAGCTTCTGCAGCGTGATGTTCTCCTCCTCCAGCTCCGTGTAGTCCTGCAGCAGCCGGGCCTCCCGGAACTTGTACTCGCGGATCTCCTCCTTCATGCGGACCCTCTGCAGCTCCACCATCTCGTTGCTCTGGAACGGCAGACACGCGCCATCAGCACGGCGTGGACGGGAAGTCCGAGCACGGCCAGCCCCGGGAGCACCACGCGCCCGAGGGCAGCGGCCGGACCGGGCGGCGCGGAGGCTCAGGACGGCGCAGCCACGGGCAGGCGTGCGGGCGCTGCTGCCGGGGACACTCCCAGCCGCGCTGTGGTCACCGCAAGGGCCCTGGAGCACCGGCTCCACGGCCCACAGCAGAGGCCGCACGCAGAGGTGCCGGGGAGCCTGGGAGCCCAGGACAGACCTGGCAGAAGCAGCAGCGGGAGAGCCCAGGACCACCCCGTCCCCGCCCCGTGAGCCCCCGGGGCTGCCAAGGCCTAGGTTATAGGTGGGTTTTTTTTTTTTCTTTGCTTTTTTCCTCCTTTTTTTTTCTTTTTGGGTCACACCTGGCGATGCTCACAGGTTCCTCCTGGCTCTGCACGCAGGAATTACTCCTGATGGTGCTCAGGGGACCATATGGGATGCCGGGGATGGAGCCGGGGCCAGCCTCATGCAAGGCAAACGCCCTCCCCGCTGTGCTGTCGCTCCAGCCCTGGATGTCTCCGTCACATCACTGTGACTCCCACCGCATCAGCCCCGGAGGCCCTAAGGCTCTTTATACACAGCATGTGCATCATGCAGCAGATAAACCCGGACAGGAAGTCACAAAACATTTCCCAAAAGGCGGCCGACACCCTTGAGAGGGAGACGCAGGCACAGGGCCCAGAGCGGCTGCATGAACAGGATGGGGCGGGGGCCGCAGGCTCTGGGAAGCCCACCCTCTCACTCAGCTGCTGGGGAGGCAGCCCCAGGGCAGGGTCCACCCCACGAGCTTTCCCGAGCACACAGAGCCCGGCCCGGGGCGGTTCCACTCAAACAGCGTCCAGGCGCGACCCGTCCACTCAAGGGCAGCCCTGTGTCTGCTGGGCGTCTCTTCCCGTGACCCGCATGCTGCAGGTGGAGAGGTGGGGGCCAGGTGGGGTCTCAGCTCCCGATGCTCTTCAAGCCGCTTCCCACACCCCCTGCTGCTATTCAGAGGGTCCAGCCTCCCACCCCCAGACCTCGAGTGACCAGGAGCAGCAGGGCCGGGCACACAGCCTGTCCCTCGCCTCGCCTCAGGCCCTGCCCAAGTGTGCTCGGGCAGAGGGTGGCAGGAAGGCAGCTCCCAAGGGCGCGGGGCTGCAGGACGCGGGCGGCCCAGGCTCATGGGCCGGGGCAGAGCCAGGCGCGAGCAGGACGGGGCTGGGGGCGGAGGGCCGGGCTGCGGGAGGCAGAGGCCTGTCCTGGAGGGGGGATGGAGCCACCTGGGCACAGCCTCCTAGGCGGGCACACAGTGCCAACGGGCCTCATGTGCAGGTCTGCAGCACCCGTGGGGACATCGGCTGTGCCTGCAGGAGTGGCCAGGGCATGGCCCTGCTCAGATCAGACTGAAGGGAACTGTGAGAGCAAAGCGGCAGCTTCTACAAAGGGCCTGGGCCCGGCTGCCTGGGCTGCTCGCGGGAGCACACGGCGCTTCACGGTGGAGCCAGGCTGCTCAGGCGGGGTGGCCACGAAGGCGCAGACTCCAGGCACACGAGAGAGGAGGGGTCTGGGAGACAGCCCTTGGGGCTCGTGGGGACCAGGGGCTGGACAGGGCGCAGGCGCCTCTCACGGGAAGAGCCAAACGCAGGGCCGCCGTCCTGGGAACGGAAGCGCGTGCCCTTAAGAGATCAGGGTCCCCCTCACCCCCAGGGGTCACTTCTGCGCAGAAAGCCAGGAATACGCCCGAGGACCACCGCGCATGGCCCAAGACCAAAAAACAGCAACAAAAGGGGGAAAATCATCAATCCAGTTTGATTAAAAGGAAAGTAAAGTAAAGTAAAGGCCCTCCCGTTGATCGTCGATTTGCTCGAGCGGGCCCAGTAACGTCTCCAATTAAAAGGAAACTATGAAGAAAGTTCGGGGCTAGAGCGATAGCACAGCGGGGAGGGCGTTTGCCTTGCACGCGGCCGACCCGGGTTCGATTCCCAGCATCCCATATGGTCCCCTGAGCGCCACCAGGAGTAATTCCTGAGTGCAGAGCCAGGAATGACCCCTGTGCGTCGCCGGGTGTGACCCAAAAAGCAAAAAAAAAAAAAAAAAAATACAATAAAATTAAACCGAGGAGGGCTGGAGCGATAGCACAGCGGGTAGGGCACTTCCCTTGCAGGCGGCCAACCCGGGTTTGATTCCCAGTATCCCATAGGGTCCCCGAGCACCACCAGGGGTAATTCCTGAATGCAGAATCAGGAGTAACCCCTGAGCATCACTGGGTATGACCCAAAAAGAAAAGAAAAAAACCTAAAAATAAACGGAGGAAATAAAAATAAACTAAGAAAACTCATTGCAAACAATAGCAAAAAAAATCAGTAATTTCTTATGGTTTCCCAAAACAGTGTCTGTGTGCAAAGAACTCGGAGGGTCTGACCAGCTGCGCCTGCTCTCTCTGCATGACTCCAGGGTTCAGGCCGCACTCCCCAGGGGGTGGGCAGGTCTCCCAGGGCAGGTCCCCCACGCCCCCACTTGCCGAGGCCCCATTGAAGGACAGGGGCTGGGGCTCGAGCGGGCCAGCCCGCGGCTCTCCCCCACGGACCGACAGCCCAGTCCCGCGTGCAGTTAGAGCAGCGTCATCACCGGGCTGCCAACCTCGAGGCCACCAGGCAGGGGCTGGACACGGCCACGGTCCGGGTCTTCCTGAGGGCTCCCCTGTCCTCCCAGCGAATGTCCTGGCAGGACAAATGGACGGTGTATCCTCCACGTGGGAGGCCACGTCCAGGAAGGCGCCTGGGTCCGGGTGAGCCCGGGTGCCGCCCTCCAGGCCCCCAATGCAATGCTCAGCCTGCCAGGCTGGCCAGCGGGACCGTCTTGGGCCTGGGAGGGGCCTCCCGAACAGAAAGAAACGCTCACACCAGCAGAACCAGCCGCTGATGTGGGGCGAGCCGGCCCCAGCCTGGGGAGAGACACCCAGACTCATGAGATACAGACTCTGCCTTCTGAGAGGGGTTCAGCTGGCGGGACCCCCTCAGAGGGCTTCTAGATCCAAGTCTCTCCGACTACTGCCCCTACTGCCGAGTGAGTGTGTGTGGGAGCTGAGGGGGGAGGGGAAGCAGGGGGCGGGGGAGGGGAGCTGGTGCGGGAGGTGATGATGGCTCTCGGGACGCTGGTGCTCCCAGCGCTGTCTCAGACGCTCGTCCTGCCCTCCCGAGCGTGAGCGGCTGTGACCTTCCTGGAACGGGGTCGCCTCCAGGGCCCTTGACGGGCAGATGAGGCTCTAAGCTCCCCGGGGAGAGTCGGATGCCGCACAGGCTCTCAGTCCGGCTGCTCTCTGGAAACCGGACGCCCCACGACACAGAGGCGAGCGGGAACGGGCGGGAGGCCGGGAAGTGCTGAGTGTGCACCCGCGGGCCGCAGGCTGTCAGAGGCTGAAACCGAAAACCAACGGCGGCAAACGGGTCGCAGCGCCCGCCCGGGCACACCTGAGTCCGCCTTCCCCTGCCTCGGGGAGACCCTCGGTCTGGGGGCTGACGCCCGCTAGCCACCCCCGTTGGCAGCAGGGCCGGCCCTCCCAGCGGGACGGCCACTCCAACCCACTGCCCTGCGGATGGCCCTAGACCCGCCAGCCGTCCTGGTCACCTCTGCCTCAGACAGCTTCCGGGATGGCCCCTGTTGAGGCCATCCTAGACGGTCCCGTGGGGCTGCTCCCTCCTCCCCGGAGACCCCTTGCAGCTGACCAGGCTGACCTGGCACAGCCTCTCTCTTCTCTGGCAGTGCCCAGAGGCCCTGCTCTGCCTGCCCACCACACACGCCTGTCTGGGGTCTTGGGACCCGGGCACCGATGGCTCCGAAATGCCCTCATAAGACCCCAGCTCCAGGCCCTGCTCCCAGACCCACACACCCCGCACACACCTCAGGGCTCCCCTCACCTACCCCCCCCCCCACACACACACACACAAACACTCACCTCAGCACGCACTCTCTCTCTCTCTCTCACGGTTGCCTCAGGGCTTCACACACAAACACACACACTTGCCTCGGAACTACACACACACACACACACACTCTCTCTCTCTCTCTCTCTCTCTCTCTCTCTCTCTCTCTCTCTCTCTCTCTATCGCCTCGCCCCCGGGTGTGTGCTCTCACTCTCGGGGCACTCGCGACAGCCCAGCACGGGCAGGCAGGAGACTGGGCTGGTCAAGGCAGCGCCGTAACCGCAGACACTGAAGACATCAAGACAAAGTCCCAGAATCCAACCAGGACGCGCCGAGCCCACCGGGGAGCACAGGGCCCAGCCCGGCCTGGCCCCGTTCGGGGCGTTCGTGCCTCCCTGCACCCGTCTCCCTTTCCGCCACGGGGGGCCCCATGGCCTAGCGATCCGCACCCCGGCTCATCACCCTGTGTGGGCTGGGCGAAGGCACAGACACACAGACCAGCAGGACAGAGAAACAGGCTGCGGAGCACCAGAGGAGGAGCCCCATCGCCAGGAGCAGAGAGCAGCAGCCGGCCTGCCTGCCGACCACACCCACCGACACACATCGGGGGCACATCCAGAACAGCTCCCAAACCCGCCGTCTCTCAGAGGCAAGACAGGACTCGAGAAGGTGCTGAGAGTAGACCATGGGCCCAGGCCCATCCCCAGCACCCGCATGGCCCCGAGGCCTGAGTGCAGAGGCAGGGTGAGCCCTGAGCACCCGCAAGTGTGGCCCACCCACCCACTCACCCACCAACCAATGGCGTAAGCCTTGGATCACCAACCGCTCTGTTCTCTGGGCTGGGCTGTGGACAGGAAAGGCAGAGCCTGGGGGGCCGGGCTGGGGGTCCTGGGGGAGGGCAGCACCCCGGGCCCCTTCCCGCCTGCAGGGGTAGGGGAGCCACCTTGTCCCTCACTGCGCCACGGCAGGGACCCTGCACCCCCTCTCAGTGTCTCCCCCAAGCCCACTGTGCGTCAGGACCCCACCCCACTGTGCCCAGGGGCCCCTGGGGGCTGGAGGCTGGCAGTAGGTGGGCCCCAACCCGGCAAGGGGCAGGAGCTCGGGAGCTCACCATGCAGGGCTGCACCCTCTGCGCTGCTCCTCAGGGCCTGGCCTGCAGCCTTGAGTCACCTGCAGCCCCTCCAGCTGATCCAGGACCCCCGGCCCAGCCCAGCCCGGGTCTCCTTCCCCAGAGACAGGCGCCCTGAGCTAGAAGCCCCCGCCACCCCCCGGGGGGCTCTGCCCCAGTCCTTTGGCACCAGCCAGGCGGGGGACGCGGCCACGGGGAGGAGGCCCTTCCTGCGTCCAGGCGGCCCCACGTGCACCCAGCGCCTCTGTGGGTCCCGGGAACCGCAGCTCCCAACCCTCAGGGCGGGAGCGCCAGAGGCGGGGGTGGGCTGGGGAAGGGACACACACACACACACACACACACAAACGTGCACGCGCAGCCTCCTACCTCCCTCAGGTCCTGCGCCAGGGCCGCCAGCCGCTCACTCTCGGCCTGCGCGTTGCTGACGGCGGCGCGGCTCTGCTTCAGCTCTGCCTGCATGTCCAGGATCTTGCCGAGGTAGTAGGCCTCCTTGGACGCCGACTCCTGCAGCAGCGTCTCCTCCCGCGTCTCGCCATCCTCGGCAACTTTGCGGTGGACCGAGAAGGACTGGCCGAAGGCCTGCGGGTGCGGAAAGGGACCGACGTGAGTCTGCAGGCCCCAGGGGCTCCGCGCAAAGCACGCGCCACCACGCAGGGCACAGGGGGGCCGCAGACGCCTTCCGGAAAGGGGCTGAGGAGGGGGACACACCCGAAAGGCACCCACAGGGCAGCGAGGGGCCACGGGCAGTCGCGCCGTCATTCTCTTTCCAGAGCAACCTGCAGAACTTCCTTCATTTTTGTGCCACACGGTGGTCAGGGGCTGCTCCTGGCTCTGTGCTCGGGGATCACTCCTGGAGGATCTTAAGGGTGTAAGGTCCCTTGGGACCCCGAGGAAAATTCCAGAGCTAAACTCTGCTAAGTAGTAACTCTTCCTTTCCTGCCCCCTCTAGTAGAGCCTTAGTGAGAAACCCTTTGTTGACTCTTCCTAACTGGGATGTAAACTCTGTCTCCATTTGTTGACCCTTCCTTATCTGTACCTCTGTTAGTAACTTTTCCCTCATCCCCACCCCAACGCAGGTACCATGAGCTGTAAATTAAAGGGAATCAGGTAAACATAGAAGATCACCAAATCTCTGAGTCAGGAGATACCCACTAGCCACAGTGCCGATGTACGTAAATGCTGACCTTTGGATCTATAGGCTAAGGAGTGAGGTACTTTTAAATGGATTGGTTAAGAACGTATATGTTCTTACAAATCTGTTGGCTATGAAATGCGCGGGCTCTGCTGTACCAGCCAGCGAAGGCCCATAGAAGATCCCCTCTGCAGAAGTTCGGGGTCTGGCCCGACGGCTTGACCCTGGCCAGCCAGCTCAGTCAACTACCTGCTTGCTGACTGCATTCCCGCGCGGTCCTTGCTTGCGGTCGCAGGTCCAGAGTCGTGCCCTAACAATGGGGCTCCAGGAATCGAACCCAGTGGCTGTGTGCTAGGCCAGTGTCCTCCCTGTTGCACTGTCATTCTGGCCCTGCAGAACTAGTTTTCACGAATGAAAACAACCCTTGGTTAGAGTGCTGGCACTGAGGCAGTCAGGGTGCCACAGCACAGCAGAAGGAGAATCACTCAGTCACATTCCTGTGCTTGAAGTCAGAGGAGAACAGGGCGGTCACCGCACAGCCAGAGAGAGAGATCAGGGTGGTCACTGCACAGTCAGAGAACAGGGCGGCCACTGCATAGAGCCTGAGAGAATGGATTGGCCACTGCACAGTCAGAGAGAACAGGGCGGCCACTGCACAAGGGGCCGCATGTCTGTCCATTTCCCTCTGAAGTGACCAGAAATGCTATGTGTGTTTTAGCACCACAGAGGAGTGACCCGTGGTGAGCAGCAGAGAAGGTTGGTGCACCGCAAGCAAACAGAGGGACCCCCATGAGCTCACAGTCAGGAGGGACCCCCGTGAGCATAGTCAGGGAGCTCCGGTGTTGGATATTAGCCCTCAGTGTTTTGGTCTTCACGGGTGAATTGCTCCTTTTCCTCCTCCCAGAGAAGCTTGTGGTACCCTTGCTAACATCCCTAATTTGGTTAGTCTATCCTCAACCTTTCCTTTGTGTTGGATATTAATCCTAAGTGCTTTAGGCTTATCACTGAATTGCCCCCTTCCCTCCTCCCAGAGAAGCTTGCTGTGCCCTTGCTAACACCCCTAATTTAGTTAAAGTAACTTCAACCTTCCCTTAGCAGTTTACCTCTCATTGTAACAGTTCCCCAAGTCAGTCTTGATTACTTATAAGCCAAAACTTTGTATCTGTCCTGCTTTGTAGCTGAAGTGCTGTGTATCCGTACCTGCTTTTCTGTCTCCCCTAGACCCTTTTATAGTTTGCTATAGGGCAAAGTTCTTTGGTTAAACACAGAAAGACCGTTAATGCCGTGATCCTAATATTTGGGAGTTGACTGACTGAAATATATCTACTCCTGGGCATAATTACTTGGTCATAATTACTTGGCTCAGGCTTCAGCTGCTGCAGTTCCTAACACCCCAAAAGGGAGCTCCCGCCGTGGGACTGGGATGGACCTGGGCGAGTGGCAAAGCTCCCCCCGCATCGAAACGGGACAGTCTAGAAAGCATAAATGCAGGGTCTCGATGCCAGCTGTTAGACTTAAGAGACAGGACCCCCGTGGGAAGGACAAGCCGAACTGGCCCGAGGACTTGGTCTGGGGTTTACGGTAAAAGCCTTGCTTGCTCTCACAGCCCAGAGAGCTAAGTGTTGGGATCCTTGTCTCTTACTGGGTTCCTCCTAAGAACTGCAAGTACTGATAACATATACAACTAGAGGCAAAGATAAAAGCAATGTAGGGGTCCCTGGGAGACAGAGTGTCTCCCTGCTTTAATCTCCCCAAAAGAGAATTTCCTGTTTCATCTATGTAAATGATCTATGCAAACTTTCAGATGTCTTACCTATGATCAATCACACCTATGTCCTTACCTCCACCCCCTTATAGCTGTGCTATAAGTATGCTAGCAGCTCTCCGTTAAACGGGCCATTTCCACCATGAGGCTGTGGTTGGAAACAGCCAACACAGCTACTCAGTGAGTTCACACCCCGGGAGCACCACTTCTGCGTTTGTCCAGCCCCGATCACCACAGCACCATCAGGAAGGAAGGAAAGGGAAGGACCTTACAAGTGGCAGCCTTGGGCCGGGGACACAGTGCAGTGAGGAGGGCACTTGCCTTGCACTCAGCCCACCTGGGTTTGAGCCCCCGCCCACCAGGGGGATCCCGGAGCACAGAGTGAAAAGTCCTGAGCACAGCTGGCACAGCTGGCTCTGCCCACGGGGAGGACTCCCGGCAGGGCCTGGGATCAGCCCGGCTCAGCCAAGTGTGAGTTCCTCGCCTCACCGACCATACACAGAGTCTCGGGACTGTTGGGGGTATTTGTTTATCCTCCCTGGGACCACCAGCGCTCGAGGATCGACACAGAACAGGAATATGAAGCCCCTCTGCTCCCGGGGGACCCACATGGTCCCAGCTCACGGACGCGGCAGGCAGAACCGTCACCCACAGAGGCTTCGACTGCTAAGGGTGCGGGGGTGGGGGCCCCCCACTGGGCCGTGCCCCGGGACTGCTGCCCGTGTGGTAGCGCCCTTCAGCTGGTGCGCAGACGCTGCCTCTGCCCTCAGTCTGGGAAGAGCCCTCCAGTCCTCGTGGGGAGAGAGCACTGGGCTGCCTTGGGTCTGTGACACTGACAGCCATCAGCAATTCTTCCCTCTGAATCTGGGCGAACACGACTCTTCTTCAGGAGAAGGAGGAGGAGGAAGACAAGGAGGAGGAGGAGGAGGAGGAGGAGGAGGAGGAGGAGGAGAAGGAGGAGGAGGAGGGGGAGGAGGAGGAGGGGGAGGAGGAGGAGTGCCGTCATTGCAGGACAAATGCACTTTCTTCGCCTCCCCCCCCCCCCCCCCCCCCGCCAATTCTCAGAGCTGACCGTGACCAGCTGGGCAGCCCTTCTGAGACTTTGTTTTTGTTTTGTTTTGTATTTTGCTTTTTGGGTCACACCCGGGGATGCACCGGGGTTACTCCTGGCTCTGCACTCAAGAATTATTCCTGGCGGTGCTCAGGGGACCATATGGGATGCTGGGATTCGAACCCACATTGGCCGCATGCAAGGCAAACGCTCCCCCCACTGTGCTATGGCTCCAGCCCCCCTTCTGAGACTTTGAACGGATTTGTGACCCAAAACTAGAGTGAGCGGGCCGTGTCGTCTGCATGGCATTCCCCACACCCCATCTTGTGTCACTACAGAGAGATCAACTGTGCTTTTTGGGGTGGGGGTGAAGGGCTGGTTTGGTTTGCAGCTTGGGGTCCACACCTGGCCGAGCTGCAGAGACCCAGTAAACAAGGGCCCACCAGAGCCTGCTGGCGACCCCGCCCGAGACTGCTGGCAGTGAGACTGCCCGAGATCTGGAAAAACAGAAGAAAAGACACAGATTTGTGTTCCTTGTCACAGCCCGGCTAGTGACGGTCCCCAAATTTCAGGATGAATTGTAGTAACACTTTAGCTTGCCTCAGGCCCACACTCTCCATGTCCTCAGAGTGATTTCTGAGACTTCGAGGAAAGGAACTGTCCACGGCAGATGGGGGCTGGGAAGGGGCCGTCTCTGTGGAGAGGCCGCGCCAGCCCCCAGCCAGACACTCACACATCAGGAGAGGAGCAGTCACACAAGACACAACCGTCAAGGTCTCATACAGGAGCCGCAGGCCAGGCGTGGCCCCCCAACACAAACAACACACTCAGAAAGAGCCAGAAGGAACCGACTGTGTGACAGGAAAGTGGATGGCTCCCGGCCAGGGCAGGCTCTGTCCACTCATCCTCCTGGCCAGGGAAGGCTCTATCCACTCCTTCTGCCCCACTCTGACCCTCCCCACTGCACCTCCACCCTGTAGGGCGGCTGTTCTGCTCCTGCAGAGCCCGAAAGAAAATGGCAATAACAATGGATGATAACACGGAAATAACAACAATAATACTGGAATCGTAGAAACAAATCCCAACTCCATGGGGCCAGAGAGACAGTCCAGGGGGCAGGGCACCTGCCCTGGATGCCACCAACAAGGGCCCTGTTCCTGACAGCACACGGGGTCCCCCAAACCCGGCTAGGACTGGTCCCTGAATGCAGAGCCAGGAGTGGACCCAAGTACAGCCACGTGTGGCCCCCAAACAGAACAAAAACCCATAATAACGAACTGCGACTACAAAGCGGTCGGCCCGAGCTGCTCCTCCCCAGGGAACACAGGGTCCCGGCTCGTCTGAAAGGCCCCGGTGCCCAGGGGACGCTGCCCACGGGTCCACGGTGGGCAGGGAATGTGTGCGCCCCCAGATGCTCTCAGGCCCGTATCCCAAAGGACCTTCCGGCTGAGACCAGTGTGGCCGGGCAGGGGGCTCTGGTGGGACAGGCTGGCCAGAACGGGGCTGTTCCACACGTCTCTTCCCTACTTCCTGCAGAGCAGAGTGGACAGGGGACACTCTGTCTATCCCCCGCTCATCTGTCCAGCAGCAGCTTCCGGGAAGAGGCCGGAGGTGGGGTCCACACGTGTGCA